TTCCACAGCCAGAACTTGGAAAAGTTCCTTCGTTGGCCTCCAGTTCCCAGAATTCCCCAGCCAGCAACACATGCGGCTGTGGATTTGGGGAGCTGTCATCCGAAACACGGAACGTCTCCAAGCTGTGCGGAAAGCCACCGAAACCCTCCTAGCCTAGAAGATGTCATATTTGCTGCACCCATCTTGTAAAAAAAATGTTGTTTTTAAAAACGGGACCTGAGAAACCCCTACTTGAAAGTAAGGCAGGTCATACAACTAAATTTCAAAGCGGTTGCCACTCTCACATTTCCCGGATACAGCTATAACGTATTCATACACTTATACGAGGATTTTTTTCACCCCTGCTCTTCTGAGCTTGTTCTTTTTATGCCTTTAGTGGAAATAAAACACGGCTGGAGTTTGCAATGGGTGTGTGTTGGGAATCTGGAACGAAACGGTCTGCCAGATCAGCACTGTCAAATTCTCAGGGTGTCGTTTTCGTGTCCCCCATGAGATAAATTTCTGTATTTCGCAGAATATGTTCCTAACGAGCAAAGGATGCAGAGAGAGAGAGAGAGAGAGAGATGCAGACATGTGTTGTAGCACTACGTTATGTACAGGAATAACTGTCACACAACACAACAATTCAGCTTTTCCCTCTCCCTCAAAAAAAAGTCTCCCTAAATTTCATTCCCTACTAGGGGAAGGGGAAATCCCCATTAAAAGCTAAATCCATTCCAATCTTCTCTGGCTAATTTGTACACAAGCAGCGGTATGAACAATAAATAAATAAATAAATAGACTAGAGTTCTTGTTGCTTTATGACAGCTGCTTACTTTCACAGCAGGCAGCTGCTTTTCCCATCAAATATATACAAGCACAACTTTGCAGGATAGCTGTTACTGACGAAGCATAACAGGGCTGTCCTCGTTTTGCGCCACCTGCCGGCCAGCACCAAAACAGCACCATTAGTGGTTGAAAATGTCGGCTGGTGAGAACAAGGGTCAGACTGGGTAAATTCTGAACCTCAGCTTTCCATTAGCTATTACATTTTATTGCTATTATTTTATCATCTTAGGCCTTTTATGCTGGTTCCTATGCATTTCCTTGAGATGACAAATCCTATTTTATGACTGGATATCTTGCGTATAGCCTGACCAGCTCCAAAGCAATAAAGTATTCATACTCGTATTCGTTGATTTCCTTGTCAATTGTGAATTCGTGGCCACTGACACACACACACACCCAATCTATGTAGTTTCAGCCCTGGGCGTTTTGTGCCATCAAGCTGGAACCAACTTAGGGCAACCCTAAGAAGATTTTCAAAGGTTAAAAGTTGTTGACGGAGTGGTCCCCTATGAGTTTCCATGAGCAAGCAGGGATTTGAACTCAAGTCTCCTGAGTCCTAGTCCAGTGCACTATCCTCGGCATGCATCAATCCCCAGCAAGTTTCCGGCCAATATAAGCTAACCATCCTCCCCCACTAATGATCGACTTATTAGCCCATTTCCTAATCCTCTGCTGCCCCCAGGTGGACATATTGAGTACTGCCAACCAACGTTGATTGGCCTATCTCGAGAATCCTTTCCTTCCGCCAGCCACCAAGCGGTTCAAGTCCCAAAAGAGAAGAGTCTCGTGGTCTATCATGGAGGACTCTCTGGAAGGGGGTGGAATATCAGCAGAAAGCCCTCCTTTGTAAGGAGAAGCAACCAGATCAGGCCTGGAGCTGACGTTGCTATTTCCCCTTCCCTGAGAACAATGAGAGACGAGAATTTAGACCATTGATCCTAACAGATAAAAAGATTATTATTTTTTAAATTACGCCCATAACCTTGGGAGGTCACAACAAACATCACCTCCTTTCATTACGGCCATTGCTTGGCTGGCAAGGATTTAGATAAGGGTCTTTCTTCACAATTGAGGGTTTTTTCTCTTGCCCTGCTGGATTGCTCTGCTTAGATCAGCAATGGCTAACCTATGGCACGCGTGCCACCGCTGGCACGCAGAGCCCTCTCAGTGAGCATGTGAGCCGTGAGTCACCGTCAAGAAATACTTACCCATCCTCCAATCCCAGGTTTTGGCCATCTCCTCTGCTGATGCAGTGGTCCAACGGAGGGGGTGCAGTGGTGGCCATGACCAGCCTAGCCCAGTGGAGGACTGGAGGAGCGGTTAGTATTTCACTGTTAATAACCTCCCCTAGGAAAAAACACAAGCATTTAACCCTTGCACTGCAAGGGCAGTTGTTTCTTCTAAACTAAAACCTTAGTATTCAGGTTTAATTGCAGTGTTGGTCCTTCGAAATAAATAAGTGGGTTTTGTGTTGCAGATTGGGCACTCGGGCTCAAAAAGGATTCCTCATCATTGGCCTAGACCACTCGTTCTCCCTGTTTTTCTGCACAGAGGGAACAATTGTACCTACAGTCACAAATAGCAACAAGTTAATTTGCTGTGCGTCTTACTAAATCTAAAATGCCTGGAGTTCCTTTCTCCACCACCATGCGCTTAGGGCCATCTGTAAGAATGATTATTATCATTTGAAGGATTCGTGATGATCATCACCACTCCGACGTTACTGCACGTCTGTTCAGAAAGGCTTGCGGCTTTATATACAGAAACAAAGAAAACATAGTCTCAGTTGACAATTCTATTTATTTTATGTTTTCTTCATTCATTTTTGATCAGGTTCCTTGCCTTCTGCTCTTAAGTTTGGAGGCTACTGGAATCGATGGTTGTTGTGGGTTTTTTGGGCTCTTTGGCCGTGTTCTGAAAGTTGTTCTTCCTGACGTTTCGCCAGCCTCTGTGGCCATGGGCATCTGCAGAGGACTGGATGCCGGCCACAGAGACTGGCGAAATGTTAGGAAGAACAACCTTCAGAACATGGCCAAAGAGCCCGAAAAACCCACAACAACCATTAGATCCCAGCCGTGAAAGCCTTCGCGAATATAGCTACTGGAATCTTTCCTTATCTTCTACTGCTCTCTTGTGGACACACTCAGTACTGCATCCCCTTAAGTTCAGCCAAAGTAAAAATAAGTACATATTAATGAATGTGTTAATATTAATATTACTCATATCAATATAATAAAATAAATAAAATAAAATAATAGTGCTATATTACAAAAAGGCTTACTTGATTGAGTCCCTTCCAAGTAAAAATGCTTAGGGTTGTGACCGTAATGTTTAAGAAACTGTTCTTGAATACAATAAAAAGGACCTGAATGTGGTAAGAGCCAATGTGGTCTAAGCTCTGGACTAAGATTCAGGATACAGAGGTTCAAATCCCTGCTTAGTTGCAAAAAGGATTTCAAAGATAAATTACTCCTTGAACATCACACACACCTGAAAAACCCGATTAAAGTTGTCATGACGTGACAACATCTAAAAATATGAAAATACACACAGTAGCGAGATCTAAAGGCCTTAGGAATGGACAATGTGGTCTAAGCTCTGGACTAAGATTCAGGATACAGAGGTTCAAATCCCTGCTTAGTTGCAAAAAGGATTTCAAAGATAAATTACTCCTTGAACATCACACACACCTGAAAAACCCGATTAAAGTTGTCATGACGTGACAACATCTAAAAATATGAAAATACACACAGTAGCGAGATCTAAAGGCCTTAGGAATGGACTGGACCGAATCCCTGCTTCACCACAAAAAAGGGTTTCAAAGATAAATTACTCCTTGAACACCACGCACACCTCAAAAACCCGATTAAAGTCGTCATGACAGAAGTAACGTGACAACATCTAAAAATACGAAAATACACACAGTAGAATTAGAGCATAAATATATAATCATCTGCTGCCACCCAGTGGATCAATCGGGAACTGCAGGTATGCTCAAAATAAACTCAGGTTGCGGAATCTCAATCCCTCTGTTGCCCCCTAGAGACAAAGACTGAGCATTGCAGCTTCTGAAAATCAGGCTGGATATTATTTGCACCCAGTGCATCAACATCAACATCAACCTGTTCTTTGCTGAATAGGAAGCTTAGAATTCATGTCCCCCTCCATTCTGCACTGGTTATTTGTTTATTTACAGTATTTATTTATTTATTCTATTTGTATCCCTTTTGCACCCAGTGCATCAACATCCCGCCTATCTGGTCATCGCGACCACTCTAGGTGGCTTACAGTACAAAATACATGGATAAACATAAAAATGAATTCTTACACAATTCTGGACACCAGAATTAAACCATTTAAAAATCCCACAAACTGGATGTACATTCAGACCCATATATTTGAATTATGAGCATGTGTCTGAATATGCATCCAGTTTGTGGGGAGTTTTTTTTAATGGTTTAATGAAAGCAGTGCCTTATTCCTGCATTTGTGCAATTCTGAATCACACCGCCTTTTCCTAATTCTTCCTCGTTTGGAAGTTATCCTGATTTTGTTGAAGACTTGAGGGGGCAAGAGACTTATTAGCCGGCAAGAAGATGCAAAATGTGGAGCAGGCAGACCCCTTAAAGTTTGCATAGACGGTCGAATTTATTTTGGGGGGACTACAACTCCCAGAATCCACCAGCCCGTGCTGGGGATTTCGGGTGTTGTAGTCGGGGGGGGAGAAAAAAATTGCACCGCCCAGAACAGTCGAAGAGGCAACGAGGCGGCTTCAAAAAAAAAGTCAGCCTCTACTGCCCCCTTGTGGCCATGTTGAGGAACGACTTGAATTCGGAGAGGCGGGGCGCTGTTCCCCCCTCCCTAGTACGGTCGCGCGTATGCAACCTTGCCCGCAGCAAATATGGCGGCGCTTCCGCTTTCCTTCACTTGCCCTCAGGATGAACATCCGGTCCTTATCGCCCCACTCAATCGAAGGGGAAGTTTGCCCCTTTCAAAAATGGCCACCGCCTTCTCCCGTATGTTTTCTCACTCCTTCTCTGTGCCTCAGTGGATTTCGAAAGTGCTTCAAGTGGACCGTTCCCTCCTTTTTTTTTGGCCTCTACTGAAGGCTGGGTCCCAAAAAACAGGCCCGCGTTCCCGCACGGCGCAAATAATAAAAATATACTGGAACTGTGCCCATAACCAAAATGGCGGCAGCGGACACAAGCGGGCTTCGCGGGACTTCGGCGCGCATGCTCGACGCTCCACCGGACCAACATGTGGTCTGTTCCCGTGCGGATGCTTTCGGGGCGGGGTTATTTGGGGGGCCGAGGATGATGGCGGCTTTGGTGGTTGGGGGGTGCGCCTGGAACCGGGCTGGGGTCACGGCGGCGAAGCCCCTTCTTCGAAACTTCGTCAGAAAGGTCGGTGCTGGAGGCGGGGAAGGGAGGGCAGCGGGTCTGTGACGTCAGCAGGGTCAAGGGTCATGACCTTCAGGGAGAGGCATCTCAGGGACTAGAGCCTTGGGGCTGCCTTTTTTCACCATCAGATTCTAGCGGGAGCTGCACCCGTTGAATTTCCTTCTGCCTGGCCTCTTTTCATTGCTGTTCGCCGCCTTGGATCCCTTTTGAGGGAGAAAGGCGAGTTAAAAGCGTTTTATATTAATAAGTCCGTTACTCCCAGAGCTCGGTGCCTCAGCTAATTCTATTAAGGCCCAAGTAATAATAATAAGTGGAACCCCTGAGATCAACAGGGTTCACGTTTTTATACAGTTCTTTAAAAGTGTGCAGCCGTTCATTGGTCCTTGAGGACTAGGTGCATGGGTTTCAATTTCTCGCTTCTCAGCAAAGCAGTTTGTTTCTCATGCACAGAGCAGCTTAGCATCTCTAAGGATTGTTCAGTCAGCCTTACAGAGCGCTACTTTTTCTTCTTTGGCACTTGCTCCCTTCTTACTATCCCACCTCTAGAAGCTGTGATGATGAGCATGTAGGATCAAAGTCCATGAAGGCATTTCATTTCATAAAAAGAGGGCTGTGGTGGCCGAGGGCAAAGACATTTGCACTAGGGCAAGGGTGGCCTGAATACAGCAACAGACCATAGAATCGTCGTAGGGTTGGAAGGGACCTGGGAGGTCCTCTAGTCCAACCCCTTGCCCAAGGGAGGAGACCGCCGACCCTCCCAGACAGATGGCTGTCGCATCTTTTCTTGAAAACCTCCAGCCATGGGGCACCCACCACCTCGGGAGGCTAGCTGCTCCACTGCTTCACAGTTCTCAGAACGCACAGGGCCAGGAAGATGACCAGCCCGGCAAATAGTGATCATCCTCATCCCCATCCAGGGACCCAGTCGGTCAACCATGCCCACAGGGTGACCAATGGATACCACTGCACGCAAAGGGCAGCTAAATTGTCACTTAGTAGACTTGGCTAGGGCATACTGGGAGGGATCAAAGAAAAGGTTACATCTCAGCCACCTACCCATTGAACCAGAGTGTGGTTCCAGCCTCTCGATGTTAGGAGCCCCCGCGGGTATGTAGGCCAGCCCTGCGTGCCACTAGATGTGCCCTGGCTGCACATCCGACAGTCAATGACATTAACAACCTGAGAGTTATCGTTCACTACTTGATGGAATTAGTTGCTGGAGGAGGCTCTTGAGAGTCCCCTGGACTGCAAGGAGAACAAACCTATCCGTTCTGAAGGAAATCAACCCTGAGTGCTCACTGGAAGGGCAGATCCTGAAGCTGAGGCTCCAGTACTTCGGCCATCGCATGAGAAGAGAAGACTCCCTGGAAAAGCCCCTGATGTTGGAGAAGTGTGAGGGCAAGAGGAGAAGGGGACGAAAGAGGACGAGATGGATGGACAGGGTCATCGAAGCGACCAACATGAATTTGACCCAACTCCGGGAGGCAGAGGAAGACCGGAGGGCCTGGCGTGCTCTGGTCCATGGGGTCACAAAGAGTTGGACACAACTTAACAACTAAACAACAACAAAAGTTGATGGAACCACTGACGTTTCCGATTCACATGCCCTGGAATAACAAAGCGTAATCGATAAGGGAGGGACCACAGCGCCAAAACCAGGGAGCACAGTTTGCTGTCCTCTGAAGATGCCGGCCACAGAGACTGGCGAAACGTTGCATGCCCTGGGATAACAAAGCGTAATCAATAAGGGAGGGACCACGGCTCCAAAACCAGGGAGCAATTGCATGAAGGAGAGCAATACAGGCCAGTGAGCAATTGCATGAAGGAGAGCAATACAGGCCACCCACGGGTCACAGGCATTTGAACGGTATCGCTGTCCTTTGAACAAAAGTCTTTTAAGATTCTGAACAGGCTCAGGGTTCATGGTCCACTCTTTGGGAGGTTTGACCTTCTTCGCTCCGGCGTGATGTATCCACAGTTTTACTCTGGAAACCTTGATTGCGGGAGGTCAGGAGTCAGCAGAACTTGTCCTGGAGCATTCCAGCGGCTTCTGGCCCCGTTGCCCACAGGAGAGGGGTTCATCCCCCTGAGATACAAGATTGGTCTGAGACATTGTGTGGAGTCTGTTCAAGCCACAGGAGGCTCTTTTCCCAAAGCAGTAAGATATCCTTCCCTCTCTGCAGGGCTCACGGCTGATGACGTGGGGAGATTTTAAAAACTGCTTGAAATCAGCAGATATTGGGCAGAAAGGCGGAAGACCCGTTTGAAAAATGCCGACCGGTGTTTCGAATGGGCTTCCCCTGGGTTTTCTGTAGGCACTGGAAATGCCTTTAAGCACCAGTTTTCAAACTCATCGCTAATAGTTTGCACAGAGGGGTAAATGAAACGCTACGCTAAATTTGCACAGATTTTTGCCTTCGCCTTTATACCATATCTTTACTTTTATGCAGCTAGCAATGGCACCTTAAGTGCCTCTCATTATGATTTCTGCCTGGATTCAGTTGGTGGTTGTTTTTTATTTCCCCCTAGCCTTCCGACGGCCTTTTGGATTCCTTTATGACTAGTGCCATGGGGTAGCCGAACAATGAATTGAACTTGATGTGGTGGGAACGGCTCCTGTTTTTTCTGTGCTGCTCTTATACAACCTCACTGCCGCTGATGATGGCAAAATGAAGGCCAGAGAAAGATGTCTCTCACTCATTGACGTGATCTTTAGTCCTGTCGGACCGCTTTTCCCAGCCTGGTGCCTGCAAGACCTATCATCCTCAGCATTGCTGCAGGGTTTGATGGGAGTAGATTGGTTTGATTTATATACTGCCCATCTGGCAACCAACACCAATCTGGGCAGTTTATAACAAAAACAACAGAGTAGCTGCCCTTTGCATGCAGCGGTATACAGAGTTATCATCTACCCAAGCCAGGTTGGGGAAGGTAGCATTAGACTAATACAGTGGTGCCCCACATAGCGACGATAATCCGTTCTGGATAAATCGTCGCTCTCCGGATTCGTCGCTATACGGGGCAAAAAACCCCATAGGAACGCATTAAACCCTGTTTAATGCGTTCCTATGGGGGAAAACACCGTTATGCAAAGATCCTCCATTGGGGCGGCTATTTTCGGTGCCTCTAAAGCGAGGCAACACAGCGGGCGGCCATTTTGGAACCGCCGATCAGCTGTGCGAAAATGGGGCCATTGGGAGGACCGCAGGGGAGGGCTCCCCCATGGTCCTCCCGAAGCCCTAGCCGGCATTTTCGCCCAGCTGAGCAGCGGTGGCTTCGGAAGCTCCCAACGCTCAGCTGGGGGGAAATGCCGGCTAGGGCTTTGCGAGGACCACGGGGGAGGGCTCCCCTGCGGTCCTTCCTAAGCCCCCGCCGGTCAGCTGGGGGGAAATGGGGCTATGGGGAAAAATCGCAAAGCGATTTTTCCCCATAGGCAACATTGCAATGCGATCGCAAAAGCGATCGCAAAAAAGCCATCGCTATGCGGATTCGTCGTTAAACAGGGTGCACGTTAAGCGAGGCACCACTGTATTTATATATTTTTTTTCTTGTTAATGGTGATTTTCTAAGGATGCTGACTCTTGCAGTTTGCTTTTTCAGAGCCATAAAACGTTCGACCCGCTCACGTGGCGGAGAGCTAAACCTCCTTTTCTCCTGCGTCTTGACCCCCCAAATGGCTGCCGGCTTCCCCTCTTCAGGCCGGCGATCCGGTATCAAAGCACAGCAGCGGTTGCAGGCACGCAGGTAAGAAGCACATTTTTTGTAAATCATGAGGGTGGGTAATTAGGAATATAATTGGCTGGTTAGTTCAGTGGTTTTAAGTTTGTGGCTGCAGAACCAGAGGTTGGGGGTTCGATTCCTCCCCACCGGGCCTTCTGGGGGAAGAGCCAGCCTGGGTGGCTTTGGGCCAGCTGCAGAGCCCCACAGCGCCCCTAGAGGAAGGGAAAGGGAAATCGCTTCTGAGGGTTCTCTCCCCAGGAAATCCTGAAAAAAGGGGTCGCTGTAAGTCAGAATGGACTCAGTGGCCAATAATTAATAGTATTAATTTGTAATGGATGTTGCGAAGAAAACGGGACAATTCCAGGACGATTCTTTAAGGGTTAGGACCCACAGGAGTGATATGAACAGGTTGCTGTGGATTTCTCGTTCTAGGTTGCTCAACCCCCGACGCCCCCACCGATCGAGAACCTTCTCTCCACGGAAGATCTCGGACAGGCCGTTCAGGAGCTGAGCTTTGCCGAAATGGGCATGAACTGCACCACTCCAGTCGGTCTCATCCAGAACTTGCTGGAGGTTCTTCACGTCAATGTGGGCCTGCCTTGGTGGGGGGCCATCATAACAGGTGAAGGGGGTTGTTGGGATTAGAAAGGAATATGAATGTGTTACATTCTGGGCGGAGAGAGCCATTACGGATGATCGTGGCCGGTGGGGGAAACCTCTGAGGTCTTTAGCCGAGTGGTCAGCCACAAAATCATCTCTCAGAAGGCCGGCAAATCAGTTGCCGTCCTCCCAAGAGTTCCTCGACATTACCTTTTGGAACTATTTTAAAAAAACAGGGTGGGGCGGCTGGCGGATACCAGAGTTGTTGTACTTCAAAGGAACTTTTCTCAGGCCACGGGGACTGTAGACGTCAAGACAGTTGTAGCCTGCAACGGAGCAACTTTCCCTGGCCACAACGAATTCAGAACCCGTAGAAGTGGCCGTTTTCCAAACAAACTTCTCAGCTGCCCGAAGAGTGGTGTTTCGGGCTAGACATAAATTGGAAGAATTAACGGGGTCCATTTAGGGGTGATGTCAACCTATCGGGTGTTGTAGTGATTCCCTAGCCCTGCCTTGTGGGTAATGTTAGTGCTGCAGTCATGCCGGAGAATAAGCAAACACTTTTCTCCTTCCAAACGACGCAGGGACGGTGGTGGCTCGCTGCCTGGTTTTCCCGCTCATCGTGAAGGGCCAGCAGGAGGCAGCGAAACTCAACAAGCACATGCCCCAAATTAACCAGCTCACCGCCCGCATGAATGAGGCCAAGCGGTCAACCAACAAATTTGAGTGTGAGTGGCGTTTTTGGGTGAAGAGCGGGAGAAAGTGGGTTGGTCCGATGTAGGTGGTTGTTGTGTTTATGAAGAAGGCAGGATTTGGGCTGCTAGGATAGCCCTAAGGGGGAGGAGTCATCAGGGATCGGGAGGAGCCAGAGGTACTGGGAAGCGGGATCTTAATTTGATGGTGGCAAAAACAAAGGAGGATCGGGACCTGATCTAGCTTTTCCCCAACAAGCTGTCCCTCGGACGTGCTGGGATTGCAACACCCCAGCAGAATCTAGCAGTCCTGATTTCACAGGCCCTCTGGGTTTCAGTCTCGGCTTTCCTGAAGCTGTCCAGCGTGCTGGATCCTAACCTCAGAATAGCTTGGGCAGAATTCAAACTCAAACCTGGAGACAATGTAATACCTGGGGAAATCGGTCCCATCCTGTTGCTTGCGGGCCATGTGATCTCGGGGTAAAGGGAGCCATGCTTTACGCTGTTTCTCTTCCGTCCCGCAGATGCAAAAGCTTATTCGGATTTGATGGTGTACCAGAAAACCCATAACATCAACCCCTTGAGAGGATTTATGGTGCCCCTTGTTCAGGTGAGTCTCGGTCGTACCGCTGCTCCCGTGAATCCCCGTTTCGGTTCCGTCCTGTTTACGCCTCTCCTTTCCTGCTCCATCCCTCAGATGCCCATTTTCATCTCGTTTTACTTCGCCCTGCGGAAAATGGCCGAACTCCCCGTGCCCAGCTTGCAAACCGGGGGGTTTTGGTGGATCACGGACCTCACCGCCGCCGACCCTTACTACATCTTGCCCTTGACGGTCACGGCCACCATGTGGGTCGTTCTGGAGGTAAGCCTTGATCCCAGCTAAGGAGAAACGGCAGGACTTTGGTAAGGCATGCCTCGCGCAGGGGCCGGCCGTGGGTTTTGGTGGCTCCAGGAATGGGTTCCGAGGAGCATGCCTGCCACAGGTTCCTGGGGTTTTATTTCTGGTCATGAGGCTATAAGAAAGTGCCTTTTTGAAGGAAGAAAACGTAACAGGTAGAAACGAAGTGGCTTTGCGTTCTTCATTTTGCAAAGCACGTTTGAGGCACGCAATTGCAGTGGCCCCAGAAAAATGCCACTTTGTCCCTCAGCAGAATTGTCACAGCGGCCGTCGCTGATGCCTTCAAAGCAACCGCAGTTGGTTTCTTATTTTAAAAAAAGGAACCTCCCCAGTGGTAGGTCTGTGCTGTCGTGTCAGGAACATTTCCTCGTTAACTGCGGGTATCTGGAGGGTGAGGAAAGAGGAGGGAGATGAGCCACAGCAGAAGGTTTAACTTCATCTTTCTTTAGCGCAGCTGGGCGCCGAATCCGGAGTGTCCAACCCAAACATGCAGACCATGAAGATGTTTTTCCGAGTGATTCCACTTGTGATCCTCCCGGTCACCATGTCCTTCCCGACGGTGAGAGACTCTTTCCTCCTTTCACACCTCCTGCAAGCCCCCAGAGGGTTGCCGGTTTTACCTAATTGTGCCAAAACAACCAGCACCCAAGCTGCGCTCCTTCTGTGTAGATGAGAGAGAGATCTCCACACAGACAGGGAAGCTCGAAAATTCCCTGTGCATGGGGATGAAGCAGCTCCCAGAAAACTCCCAGCCAGTTACCGTGTTGGATGCTGAGCCTGTTGGGAGTTGTAGTCCTCCCCCCCTCCCTCCCCTGAGAAAAGGCCACATTTGCAAACTGAACAAACCTAAGCTTTTTGCTTCAACCTTGAGCTCTGTTTGGTTCACAAGCTTGCATGTTTTCAGCCTCCTGCAAGCCCCCAGAGGGTTGCCAATTTTACCTAATTGTGCCAAAACAACTTACACCCAAGCTGTGCTCCTTCTGTGCAGACGAGAGAGATTTCCACACAAGACAGGGAAGCTCGAAAATTCCCTGCGCAGCAAGCTCCCAACCAGGGACCGTGCCAGATGCTGGGCCTGCTGGGAGTTGTAGTCCTCCTCCCCCCCCCTCCCCCCCAGAGAAGGCCACATTTGCAAACTGAACAAACCTAAGCTTTTTGCTTCAACCTTGAGCTCTGTTTGGTTCACAAGCTTGCATGTTTTCGAAAAAAAAGATCAAATAAGAACTTTTATCTCTCTGTCTCATTCCAAGAAACTAAGGTCAGGGTTACCTTCCTCTACTGGGTGGTCTCTGACTTGAATAACTAAGGTTCTAGTCCTCATTAAGATAGAACAACATCCGGTCAGCCACGGACGGCGCAAAGAGAGGTTTCACAGAACTGCGGCTGGAAGGAGCCCAGAAATGCTCATAGATTTCGGTGCTCTCATCCCCATATCTTGCTTCCGCTGTTTTACACCCCCTCGAACCGTCAGCGTGGTTTGATGTTCTCTCCTCCCTTCCCCACAGGCCATCTTTCTCTACTGGGTGACCTCCAACCTGTTCTCGCTGGTGCAGCTGGCGGTGCTGCGTGTGCCCGCCATTCGCACCCGCCTCCGTATCGAAAGGCCGCCGCAGCAAAACACTGGTCCTCAGGAGCCGCAGGAAAGCTTCATATCGAGCATTAAGAAAGGCAAGTGGAGGGGAGAGGGCGGGTTCTTTTTCAGAACCAGGGCACATTTAAACAAATAAATAATAAAAATTGAAACCCGGCCTCTTGACCTATAAAAAAACCCTTAGCGGCCTGGGACCTCAGTGGATGGCTGTCCAACTCTTTCCAAGTGGAACTGCCCATCCTACACTAAAGTTGCCAATCTCTAGAGAAGTCTGGAATGGAATAACTAAATCTCTCCAAGATACAGGCCACCAGCCTCTGGAAGTTGCCCACCCATGTGTCCAGGTCTCCGTTTTGTACAAACCTAACACGCAAACGGTCCTTTATGGTCTTCTCTCTCCCTTCCAGGGTGGACGAACATACAGTTGGCTCATCAGCTGGACGAACGTAACCGGCGCATTAAAGAGCAGCTGGAGATGGCCGCCAGAGGTAAGCTGCTTCCATTACAACTGGCTGCTGTCCGTTCCCCATGTGCCAAATGTGAATGTAACATCTGCAGAGCCCTGCTTCAGGGTCATCCATTTAGAAACAGGGCAACCTGTCAAGAGCTCAAGGAAAAGGTACATAAGCTGGAGAAAGCAGAGTGTGGTGCTTATCTATCACCCCCTTAGTGCTTAAAGCACTCTCTGGGTGGTTTGCAATTTAATTATGCAGGCTGCACATTGCCCACCCGCCCCCTGCAAGCTGGGTACTCATTTTACGGACCTCAAAAGGAGGGAAGGCTGAGCCAACCTTGAGCTGGCTACCCAAGATTTGTTTGGGATCGAACTCAGGTGGTGAGCAGAGTCTCGGCTTCAGTTTAACCATCATGCCATGGATAAAACACAAGGATCAGGGCTCCTGTCCCTTAAGGCTGCAACTGTCAGCCCGTCTGATCCGAGTTGCAGGAGATTCGTAACAGACAAAAGTTGCAGGAGATTCGTAACAGACAAGCCACGTGCCTGGTTTTCTCTCTGTCATTGCCACCAATGCCGGTGGCTTGCAAAAGGGAGTTCAGTCAACCGAGTGGAGGGACATGTCTTTTTACAGCGAGATAGCACCTGGCCGGACAAAGTTCCGAACAGAGTAGTCCTAGAACGAGCTGGAATTTTTAGCATGTGTACATTACTGAAATAGCATTGTCTACGTTGGCTCAGGCATGTCGTGAGAATGGCTGATGGTCAGATTCCAAAAAATCTCCTGCATGGGGAATTAGTGCAGGGAAAGCGCCCCCGAGGGAGACCACAGCTGCGATACAAGGAGATCTGCTGGCGGGGGCTGAAGGCCTTAGGAATGGACCTCAACAGATGGGAAAGCCTGACATCTGAGCATTCAGCCTGGAGGCATGCGGTGCATCACGGCCTCTCCCAATTTGAAGAGACCCTTGTCCAGCAGGCCGAGGCAAAGAGGCAGTCCCGGAAATGGCCAAATCAGGGAGCTAGACAGGGGAACAGACTGGACAGACTGGATTTGTCTTCAGTGTGGAATGGATTGTCACTCTCGAATTGGCCTTTTCAGCCACACTAGACACTGTTCCAAGACTTCTGTTCAGAGCACGTTATCCTAGTCTCTGGAAACTAAAGGATACCTACTAATAAGCAAAATGAAACACTTGTGGGTTCAGCTGCAACCTGACGCTGGATCACAGCTGCCAGGGAACCACAGTAGAGATGGGTTTATTATGGGAGTTTGATTTCCCCCCGCTCCACTGTGCCTCCAGGCCCCCCAAGGAAATTTCCAGTAGCCCCAAAAAGCTCACTTGTGGGTCCCTGGTAACAAAAAGGCCTCTATGCTGAAAGACTTTTTCTAATTCTGCTGAGTTTAGCTTTGGGAAAAATCCTAGCCCTTCTTTACCCACCCTCAGAAAAATCAAAAGTGGAAGTGGATATTCAGGCACTTCCAGTTTTCATGTGGGTTTGTTTGATTTGGTTTGGGTTTTCTGACATTTTCAGCCATGCCTTGGGACTAGATAGACTATGGGAGACCCACGGTGTTCACTTCCTGTTCTGCTTTTAAAGATGGTGGGGGAGAGTCTTTGGAAAACTGAAACTTAGCCTGTCCTGTTTCTCTCCCACCCCCACCCCCAGGGCCACTGCGCCAGACCTTTCGCCACAACCCTTTGGAACAGCAGCCGCGTCCCGCCCCAAAGCCACCGCAGAAGAAGAGACCGTGGGAGGACACCTTGGGATGAACCATGACTGAACTTGGCTGTTTCTTCAAAGACTAGGGTTTTTTCGGGGGGGGGGGGGGAGCACAATCTTCCTGCAGCCACCACCACTCTGGCAATAAAGGAAATTTCTCCTCCTCCTTTTGGTTCTACCATTTTTGTTTAGCGTAAAAGAAAGGGGGTGGGGGGCACGCAGGAGAGATGTGTCTCCCCATGCCTCCCAGCACTGGTGTATGTGCAAACCCTCCCCACCCCATAGCAGGAACGTCCGCCAGCACATCTTCCAAAAGCCGTTGCTTCTTTGCGTGTTTCTTGACCCTTTCTTTGAAGCAAAGAGGGAAGTGCAAAACCAGTATCTTAGGGGATTTGGGGAGTTGTAGTCATATCTATATATCTTCGAGAAGCTACAGGGTCACCTTTGCGAGTTATTGGAAGGCAGGCTGGCACGCTGGTACGTTCCAGAAGCTGCCAATCATTAGCAATCCCTGGAGTCAACAAGGAAGGCTGAGGGTTTATTGGGACGCCGCCGGTAGGGCGCATCTGGCGATCGACATGGACAAGACGGGAAGATGGGCAAAGTCCTTCAGCTCCTGGGATGACCCTCACCCCCAACTCCCAAGGAAGTAACAAATAATAAATTAGAGGTCTCGGAAGAGAGTCCGTTACAAAAGGTAAACGGGGCGGGGGGGGGGGGAAGCCGGCTTTTCCCCCCCTGGTGGCAATGTTCTTCCATCACTTCGATTTGATGTCGGTGATAGGATCTTGCTCTGTCAGGACGGATAAGGTCACCAGCTGGAGGAACCGGGTGATGGAGGCTGCAGGGAAGGACAAGAGAAAAATAAGCCTGTGGACAGAGGGCAGACGTTCCAAGGTCCAGAGACCGCAGCGTCCCCACAAGACCTCCGTGGGTCAGACAACCAACCCCTTTGTGTCACCGTAAACGAAAGCTCATTTTTCCTCTCCCTCATGGGGCAGAATCAACAGGTTTTGGGGAGGGATGTCCTGGCCCGTTTTAAGTTCCCCGTGAGGCTTTTTTTCACACGCACACACACAAACCACAAGTAACTTAACAACTGGCCCTGGAGGCAACCCAAAGCTGGTTAGATGGGACCCCAGTACCATCTGGAGGGAACAAGGTTAAGTTAAAGAAATATTAAAATGGGAGGAAGGGGGTGACGTGTGGCCGAAACAACCAGTCAGCCCACACCATAGGCTATGCTCGCTCTTGTGATGGATAAGTTTAACGCCTAGGTATAGGTAAGAAACATGTGTTACCTGGTCGCACGTTGAAAGAGAGAGTGACATATATGTGTGCGCGCACCCACCCATGACCAGATTCTTAAGTCTGCTTTTGAAATAAATTCTGGAGATGACTACATCACCTTAATGAGTTTACATAATCGGCCTGAATTCTCGGGCTCATCTAAATTTTGCAAAGCCAGACAGTGTTTTTAACTCCCTCTCCAAAAATCTTTATTCTTTCGGTAGTTCGGCAGACAGGGCGCTAAGCCCCTTAACTGTGGGGAATCGTTATTCTGAATTCTATACCCGAGGCAGGAAAGCGAGTGGGAGATTTGAACCACGATTCCTCAAGGCATTGTGGATGATTGGGGCATTTCTGGGGATTATCATTCAAAAAAAAAGACTTCATTTTCCTCAGTGGTGTGCTTTCTGTTGTGTTCATTCTGATACTGAAGGAGTCGGGGTTTGGATGGATGAGGAGTTAGGAAATGCAAGAAGCTGGGGGTCTGAAGCGGAGGCTCCAATCCTTTGGCCATCTGATGAGAAGACTCTCTGGAAAAGACCCTGATGTTGGGAAAGTGCAAGGGCAGGAGGAGAAGGTTGACAGAAGATGAGATGGATGGTCAGTGTCATCGAAACGACCATCATGAATCTTACCGAACTCTGAGGCAGTGGAAGACCGGAGGGCCTGGCGTGCTCTCTGATCCATGGGGTCACAAAGAGTTGGACACAACTAAACAACTAACCAACAAAAGGGGTCTGTTACTCACCCACAGCCTTACGTAGGCACCGGGGTCTCTTCGTCTTCGGTACTCGAACCACTAAGTAGTACACAGGGAGGCCAGAAACAGCTATACTGATGCCGATGAGAGAATTGACCAGGTCACTGTAGAGGGGGACAGCTACCAGAAAGATGGTGCAAAGGCAGAAGATGATGGGGAAGACGATGCTCAGCTGGTGGAGATAGAAGAAGGTGGGAAGGAGGTGATCGTCATCCTACACAAACCCTTGACCACCACTACCACCCTCTCAACTGGCACCGTTTCATTCCCAATTCTTATTTATTTAAATTTATTTAAGATATTTTTACACAGCCTTTCTCCTTAGAAAAGACCCAAGGTGGCTTACATTGAGAGACAATTTACAGAAGCAGCCACGGAGAAGGCTCTCCCTCCTGTGTCCCCACCCAACGCACCAGATTTTGGGATGAACTGGCCAGGCACTCCTTTTCCACCGAGCCCAGCGTTCTGCCCTCGAGAAGCTTGGGTGGGGTGTCCCTAGAACAGGGATGGGAGACCGTGCCGGGGGCGGGGAAGAAGCCTGCCAGCCTCAGCCCAAAATCTGCATTTTGTATGTTTTGTCCACAGCCTTTGGCCGCACGGGGAGACCATGATCCTCTCCCTTTCGATTTGCACCCAGGTGTGAAGATCCTGATCAATGGGGGCCTCGTAAAAACACAGGCTCCATGAGACGAAGCTGAATAACAGCCCTCGACAACCAGCTTCTCTCCTTGGGTCTGTTCCTTTTTCTGGAAGACCCTCTGAAGATGGTGGTTCTCCCATCTGGCAGCAGTGAAGACAACCTGTATCCTTGAAGATGCACGAACAGCATCTTGCGGTCCAAGATGTTGAGAAAGGAAATGGTGCCTTGGTATCTATTTTGGCTCTTTTTTACCCCCCAAGCTGGCTGGATAGCTCAGTGGTCAAGGGACCAGGCTATAGAGCCAGAGGAGTTCAGTTTCTCACGATGCCTCCTAGGGAAAGAGCCAGCCGTTGTGATGTTGGCAACATTGCCCGTCTCACAGCTTCCCCCAGAAGACAACGGCGAACCACCTCTGAGTACGATCTACCTAGAAAACCCCAGAAAGCATTGAAGGCACACAATTATTATTATTCCACTTCCCTCTCCTGGAGTTTGGGTGGACGCAAACAAGCTGCATTGGTTTCCTTCGGTCCTAGTCCTCATGGTTCGGGCTGAAATCCGGACAGCCTGAACGCAGATCTCTTTCTTCACATCCTCTTTCATCACTCTCTTCCCAGAGGCCCTCCTGTCTGTGTTTGTGTTGTTTTACAAGACCAGGCCCCTTTATCGCTCAGCGGTTTAGGCGTCTGGCTGTGGAGCCAGAGGTTGGGAGTTCGATTCCCCCCCACTGGGCCTCCTTGGTGGGGGCCGCATAGGTTCCCTTCCAGCTCTGCAGGTCTAACATTATTATTATAAGCAATTTATCAGCATTGATTTTTTAAAAATCTAAGACCGCAGAACAAGAGGTTTACAGTGTTCCCTCTGCTCCTACCTTGAGGGGGCGCTCTTTGGACGGGTCCTTCCAGCGGAGGTAGAGCTGGCCGGCGATGGACAGGCCCACGAAAAACCAATAGCTGAAGCTATAGTAATTGATGAGCTGAAAAATGTCCTCTACACAAAGGTAAACCAGAGACATGGCGCCCTGCAAGAGAGAAAGCAGGAACAGAGCAAGGCCCCACCGAGAGTTAGGGGAATCGGATGTCTTTTCTTCCTGTAAGCTCAACAATCCGTCCCACACATCTTCAGAGTCTGGGTTACAAACAGCTGTCTGCAGAGCGCAGAGTCCATGAACCCAGTTCTGAAGACAGCCACCCACATCTGCCATAAGACTCTGTAAGTATTCCAGATCTCTGGCGTTTAGGGTGCTGATTCATTCCATTTGATCTCCTTCTTCCCTCCTGGATTTCAGAGCAGATGTTACAGTGGTTTCTAGGATAATTTCTGGTCCGTGGGCCTAATCTACGCCTCTCGTTGATGGAACGTTGTCTAGTCTAGACCACAAGGTGGGCTACATCCAGCGCTGATGATCTGCCTCGAGGACAGCTGCTCAGGCACTCTCTGTCCCCCCCCCAGCATGCCCATCGTTCAGCTGTTCAGCCAGCTAGCAAGATGGCATGGGGATTCTGGACATTGTGGTTCCAGGAAGGTCAGCTTTCTCAGTGGTGTTTGGGGAGCTGGGCCTTTTCCGCTTCTCCGCCCAACCTCCGCGCCATCTCACATGGGACTTACATTAAACAGCAGGGCCGGCACAGGTGTGAACCGCCAAACGTGGATCATGCAGATGGCGTCCGGGAGATGCCCCTCGCGGGAACCCACAAAGAACAACCTGTGGAGAGACCGGGAGCATGAGGAGACTGCCGGCGCAGCTGAAAGGTCATGCACCAATTTGGAACGGAGACTCCTCGCGGAGGGAGAGCGCCTCCTTAGGCCGTGCGGGGCAGCCCCACCGAATTTGAAAAATTCTCAGAATGCACAGTTCCAAAAGATATCCGCTTTACAAAGGATGCCGGCGTCAACGTGAAGTTCACGCAGGAGCTTGGATGTTCAGGAGATGGCACTGGATCACCCCCCACCCTTACTGCATTGCATTGGGCATGAGACATTGCCCAGTGCAATATCCATGGGTCCAAAACAGCAAAACACATCAATGAGAATAAGACGCAGGCAATGGGTACCACACCACAATGAGTTCTGGTGTATCGTATCTCATACCTTCACACATCTAGAACAGTGGCCTCAGCAAGCCAGCATTTTGGCTTCGTCTGGCACTTCGGGCAAAATCCAGTGTCCTGGCATATGCCCATATCGATAATAGCCATAATGGAGAATGAATCAGGAACTGGAACATTTCACCCTCCAAGATACTGGAGTTCTTACAACCTCACATGCAGCCTGTGATTTGAGTGACTGGGAGGGGCTTTTTCTGAGTTGGAGTGAGGGTCAATCTATCCAGCACGACCCAATCATACCCTCCTGTCTCTGATTTTAAAGAGAGCCCCGCCCCTCTGTTAAGCATTTACTTTGCCCTCTCTTTACTCCGTTGGAAATCGTGTTGTTTTGCTTGCTGTTGATCTGTTCACAACGGTAAGTAATGAAACGTTTTTATTGTTTTCTCCTTCAAATGTGAGCTTAGGTAAAGGTAAAGGTTCCCCTTGACGGTTGTTCTGGGTTTTTTGGTCTCTTTGGCCGTGTTCTGAAGGTTGTTCTTCCTGACGTTTCGCCAGTCTCTGTGGCCGGCATCTTCAGAGGACAGCAACCTTGACATTTAGTCCAGTTGTGTCTGACTCTAGGGCACGGTGCTCATCCCAGTCTCCAAGCTGTAGAGACAGCGTTTTTCCATAGACAATCTTCCATGGTCACGTGGCCAGCGCGACTAGACACGGAATGCCGTGACCTTCCCACCAAGGTGGTACCTATTTATCTACTCTCATTTTACATGCTTTCAAACGGCTAGGTTGGCAGGAGTTGAGACAAGTGACGGGCGCTCACTCCGTCACATGGATTCGATCTTACGGCCGCTGGTCTTCTGACCTTGCAGCACAGAGGCTTCCGCGGTTTAACTCACAGCACCACCACTTCCATTCATTGAGAGCTTAGGTGACAGTTATCTGGTGAATCTCTGTACTTCTGCTGTGCAACACAGTGAATTTTACCAGAGATTCAAAATTCTGCAACGCCAGCAGCTATGGCTGACCCCCCAAACCATGCATCCAGATGTCTAGCAGAGCACCCTTCTGTGGTGAGGGTAAGGGATTTTTCTGTCCCCCAGAACTTCAGTTGCTCCTTGTTGTTGTTGTTTAGTCATTTAGTCGTATCCAACTCTTCGTGACTCCATGGACCAGAGCACGCCAGGCCCTCCTGTCTTCCACTGCCGCCCAGAGTTTGGTCAAATTCATGTTGGTCGCTTCGATGACCCTGTCCAACCATCTCATCCTCTGTCATCCCCTTCTCCTCTTGCCTTCACACTTTCCCAATATCAGGGTCTTTTCCAGGGAGTCTTCTCTTCTCATGAGATGGCCAAAGTATTGGAGCCTCAGCTTCAGGATCTGTCCTTCCAGTGAGCACTCAGGGTTGATTTCTTTCAGAATGGATAGGTTTGATGTTGCAGTCCTGGGGTCTCTCAAGAGCCTCCTCCAGCAACACAATTCAAAAGCATCAAATCTTCGGCAGTCAGCCTTCCTTATGGTCCAGCTCTCACTTCCGTACATCGCTACTGGAAAAACCATTGCTTTGACTATGAGGACCTTTGTCGGCAAGTGATGTCTCTGCTTTTTAAGATGCTGTCCAGGTTTGTCATCGCTTTCCTCCCAACACCTTTAAAGGGTTAGGGTTGCTGAATGCCAAAGAGTCTGCCAATCCTGCTCTATAAGATGGCCCTGCATAAACTTCTTTTGGAGTTAAAAAAAAACCACAGTGTAACTTTGTTTTGAGAATCAAGAGCACATAAATCTTAGTTCCTGATTTGCTGACAGAGCTTTGTTCTAAACCTCCTTGGAAATAAAGAATGGGGAAACACAGAATACTTTCAGAATGATGTGAGACACTAGAAGGCTTTACACAATCTGTTTTCAGATGTGTGCACTTGATGAAAAGGTGGGAAGTTGCTGACCAGAAAGGGTGACCGTCTACTTTCTAAACGGCCTCTCTGATATAATTACACTCTTGGCATGTCCCTGCGGTTCACACAAATATTTCCACACAAAAGCTCAGGGGGAAATTACATTTTGGATCACTTCTGCCTCAGCCAGCCTGTAATTCTTCCAAGCTCTGATCCACAAAACAGAAAAGGCCACTCATTTGGAAAGACCTCAAAAATACATTTTGGATATTAAAGGATGGGGGGGGGCAGGAAGGACGCACAGAAACACCATGCAGTTACCTGGAAGCTGCTAAGATGGAGGCGTTGAGGCCTCCCAAACACGACAGCGCCACAGCAAGCGGGATGGCCCACTGCATAACTCCGAATACCTCACTGCCGAAGGTCTGGAAGGGAGGGGGAAAAAAAAACACATGAGAACAGAAGGAGCTAACAGAGAGGAAAAAAACTAACCTGGGAGTCTTTCACTGGAATTCCCAGTACAATCAGGGGCTTCTTTCCATAGCAAGGGGTGGGGAAACGGACGTTCATCAAGTCCAGCCCGCACGCCTAGTGATTAGGGAGAATGAGAATTGTAATTGAATACTGCGGGTTCCCCATCTTTGCAAAATCGGAATCCACCTCCCAAGGTGTCCCACCTCCCTTTAGCCGGAAGAGATATGAGGTGTTATTCAGTGATGTAAGTCTTCACCGAGTCCAACCGGCTTCAAGAAGCAACGGAAGACACCAAAGGCAATCCGTGAGAGCTTCGTGCCCGATAGAACTTGTCGGGCTTCAGCACACGTGGGCATGGGACTGTGGGTGGGTGCCGTGCCCACCACAGACGGTAGACGAACACAACAGGAAAGGGAGGCGGAGAGAGTTCAGAGGCAAGGGGTGGAAGAGTCTGTAGGATGGCCAGCCACCGAGAGGTGTGATACGTACCACGGCGACGGCCTCGCTGGCCAGGATCTCGGTCTTGCTCAGCACCGTGTAATACGCCACGTTGGTCATGATGTAGATGACCGTGACGATGGGCATGGAGATGCCGATGGCCAGAGGGAGGTTCCTGGAGAGCAGCAGAGAAGGTTTAAGGCTTTCCGCCCTCCCATTTAGACCTCCTTTGGCACCGTTCCTGAGGCCAAATCATACGCCGGGCGACTGAATTAGGACCCCCAAATCTGTTCTCTCTAAAACACGTTCCCAGAAACCCTCTACTCCCTAAGCAATTTTCCCAGAATCCTTTGCTCCCTAGGCCAGGTCCCCCAAACCCTCTGTTCCCGAGGCCGAGGTCCCAAAATTTTCTGGTAAAGGTAAAAGGTTTCCCTTGACATTTAGTCCAGTCGTGTCCAACTTTAGGGCGTGGTGCTCATCCCCGGCTCCAAGCTGTAGAGCCAGCATTTTGTCCGAAGACAGTTTCCGTGGACACGTGGCCAGTGCGACTTAGACACGGAACGCCGTGACCTTCCGACCGAGGTGGTACCTATTTATCTACTTGCATTTGCATGCTTTCGAACCGCTAGGTTGTCAGGAGCTGGGACAAGCGACGGGAACTCACTCTGTCGCGTGGATTCGATCTTACGACTGCACGTCAGAATTTTCTGCTCTATAGCCAGATTCCCAGAACCCTCCACTCCCTAAGCCAGTCTCCCAGCACTCCTTGTTCCTAGTCCAAATTCCAAGCCACCTGTGCTCCAAAGGCCAAGTCCCTGATTTTGCTGCTACCTAAGACCACTTAGGTAGGGACGTGGTGGCGCTGCGGGTTAAACCGCAGAAGCCTCTGGGCTGCAAGGTCAGAAGACCAGCCGTTGTAAGATCGAATCCACACAACGGAGCAAGCTCCCGTTGCTTGTCCCAGCTCCTGTCAATCTAGCTGTTCGAAAGCACATAAAATGTGAGTAGATAAATCGGTACCACCTCGGTGGGAAGGTCATGGCGTTACGTGTCTAGTTGCGCTGGCCACGTGACCACAGAAAATGTCCACGGAGAAACGATGGCTCTACAGCTTGGAAACAGGGATGAGCACCGCGCCCTAGAGTCGGACACAACTGTACTAAATGTCAAGGGGAACTTTTACCTTGACGTAAGACCACTTTATTCCCCTGGGTTTCTTTTTAGTTGTTTGCTTTATAAAAGACTATTGAAAAGATTGTAGCAGTGCAATGGTTCCTTTTAGCAACAATGTTGCATGTAAACAGAAAATAATTGACTTTTTCATAAACAAACATGCTATTCATGTAAATGTTATAATTTGGGATCGATTCACTTGTATGAGTGTTTCCACCTCTCCCTTAGTATTCTGGCAATTAAAAAAAAGGCCTATCAATATTCATAGCAAATTCCTGTTCACAAAGTTTTAACCAAAAAACAAACACCTTTAGACGTCCAAATATGTCCTGCTCTGGAACAGCCAATGTAGTGGACACTAAATTTCTAATTTTCACCACTCATCTTGTAAGATAACTGAAACAATCCAACCAGCAAACCACACTGCAATGCCACTTCTTGGCCATTAGATGGCAGGCTGCCTCCATCTCAAAAGAAATGGGTTAAAAAAAGGAGAATCCTGTTGTCAGTTTCAGTGGAGACACCATGTCAACTAAATTCAGGAAGTGAAGGCCAAGGGAGAAAGGGGGGAAGCAACTGAGGCTCCTTAGAGCAGGTAGTTTAAGTTCATTACAGGATGTAATGAGAGAAAGTAAATGTTGTTTGTCCTGGAGGATGTCACTGACATTGACCAATAGGTGCTTGTGGCTGCATTCCATGCAGTATTCCCAGCCACTGTGATCTCTCAACACACTCTTGGAGTTGAAAAGCTGACCTTTCAGGGTTCTTAATTTCCTCTGTGACGAAATTGAGGGTGTCCCATCCAGAATAGGAGAAGAGAGCTGAGTAAAGGGCCAACGCAATGTTTCCCACATGCCAAGAGGAGCCTTCAAAAGAGTCAGCAAAGTTCTCAGAGTGTCCTGGAAGAGATAAGACGGGTTTGCATAAATCACTCGGTCCCAAATGACATACAACCGGAAGTCTAATAACTAGCTCCACTAAAAAGCACAGTCTGCTGCGATGCAAAGCCAGCTGTGATGTTTCTGCCACCCATTCTCATGTGTAATTCATCCCTTGATGACCACTTGGTATTTACGGACAACAAGGGATGAGCACAAGAAGAAGCCACGAGAGCCGGGGGGGGGGGGAAGCTGTGGTTCTGAGTTTGGACCTTGGTTCAAGTATTACTGTGTCCCCTGGTATGGGTCACTAACTAACCCTCCATGTAAGAGCCCCATGACACAATGGTTAAACTGCAGTACTGCAGTCAAGCCTCTGCTCACGCCTGCGTTTGATCCCAACAAGTTCAGGTAGCCAGCTCAAGGTTAACTCGGTAAATTGAGTGCCCCACTTGCTGGAGGGCAATGTATCGTTTGCATAATTATGTTGTAAATTGTCCAGAGAATGCTCTAGCACTATTCCAGATGTTATATAAGTTGAAACAATAATACGATAATTATGATAATATAGAATGGCCCTAGCAGGGGTGGTGAGGAGGGACAGAGGTAGGAAAGGGGTTTATATATATATTCTGAACTTCAGAATATATATTCTGAGGGTTGTAATCCCCAAAAAGGAACTACAGTATTCAAAGTTCTGAGAAGGACTCGATTCAATAGAAAGCACTGAATCGTGACTAAGCTGCAACACGGAAGGAGAGGGAAACAGGAGAGAGAAAAATTCCAGGGATGATGTTACCAGTACCTTGCCCAATGCGAATGATGCCAGCGATGATCACGGCGATGAGAGCTAGAACCTTGGCATAGGTGGACGAATCCTGTACCCGGGTGCCCCATTTCACATAAGCACAGTTCACAAAAGTGAGTAAGCCTGAGTAAGGAGAACAACGCAAGGATCATCCTCAGACAGTTGTTTGCAGATGGTGCCCACCTCCTCTCTCCCGACACACACATATTAAAAAATCCAAACAGGGGGGGGGGCTCTTTTGTCTCCTGCACAGGAGGAGACTCTGGAACTCCCTCCCACTGGAGGCCATCCTGGCCCCATCTTTGCTGTCCTTCCACAAGCAGGCAAAGACCTTTCTCTTCAGGCAAGCCTTCCCTTATTGACTGGCTGTCCAGGAGGAGTTTTTTTAAACGGATTCTTGTGCCTTATTGCTTTGAATGTGTTTCAGTGTTGATTCTGTTTACTCTTTTTAAAAAAACTGGCATTTGTCTCCTCCCTCAGTATTGTATACTCACCATTGTTAGCTTTACATACTATCTCTTAATGATGTAAGCCACCCGGGGTCCCTATTTAAGGACAGAGTAAAAATAATTGATATAAAATAAATACTTGGGACAGGCAGGCTCAAACTCCCTCAGCATTAGACACCAATGGCTAGTATGTGTCCTTAACAGCAAAGTTTTTTTTTTCAAACTCTAGATTTTGGAAGTCGTCCCAACTTGGTTACAGCTCTGGATAAATGGCAGGAAAGCGAGAAAAGATACAGTACTGAGTTCCAAATTAGTTGCTGGACCCATGCTTGATCTTCCACGGATCATCATTTTTCAGAGTCACAAGCCTGAGTAATCAAGCCGACAGACAATGCCCGCATATTTATTGTCTGACAACCACACTCGCCAAACAAAGGGAACTAAGAAAAGCTCCACTAAGCTCTGTTAAGACAATCAGACTTAGCCCTTCACTAAGCAGGAAGCTTGGTTTTCTCATCTCGTTCGCCCCTCAAAGAGCTTCAAAGACTTTCCGTGCAGTGCAAACAGTCTCCCACCGCCCGAATTCACAGCTAACACCTCTGAAGTCATTACGTTCCCTCTCTAAGGCATTGTTTGGGGTGCAGAAGTTTCATAACAACACTCGCTCTTCCCCCCCATTTATGATGACACCCTTTAATTGCACAAAAATAAGTGCAGTCAGTTGAATGATCAGTCTATCAAGTATATATATATATGAGATAGTATTGTGTCTCGTTCTGGACATTGAATTTTAAGAAGGAGGCACACCAAGTTCAGAGAAGGACATAAGAAAATCATAAGAGGGCTGCTGGATCAGGCCGGGGGCTATCTAGTCCAGCATCCTGGATCTCCCAGTGGCCCCACCAGATGCCTCTGGGAGCCCATGAGACCACTGCACTAGAGAACTGTCTACTGATCCCCCCTCCCCTGCATCTGTCATTTGGAGGTCCCTTCCTTTTAAGCCTGGAGATGATACATCCCCGTCATGGCTTGTCACCTGCGATGGACTTTTCCTCCAGGAATCTGTCCAATCCCCTTTTAAAGGCATCTAGGCCAGATGCCATCTCCACATCCTGTGGCAAGGGGTTCCACTGACTAACCACACGCTGAGGAAATAAATATTTTCTTTGGTCTGTTCTCACTCTCCCAACACTCCATTGGAGTGGATGTCCCTTGATTCATGTATTATATGAGAGGGAAAAGAGCTTCCCTCTCTCCACCTGATCCATGCCCTGCAGAATTTTATACATCTCAGTCGTTTCCCCACTCAGGCGTCGCTCTCTTCTGCACCTTTTCCAGTTCCACCATGTCTTTTTTGAGGTGCAGAAAAATACTTCTTAACTGTTAGAGCAGTACAACAATCAAACCGATGACCTTGGGAGGTGGTGAGCGGCTCTAACCCTGGAGGCAATCAAGAAGAGGTTTGACCGTCTGTAGATCTGCTTTGATTTCGATTCCCGCCTTAAGCAGGAGGTTTGACTTGATGGCTTTATAAGCCTCTTCCAACTCCATTATTCTACGATTCCATGGTTCCGCTATTGACACGAGGCTGACGACGGTACTAAATCTAGAGTTAGCCACTCTAACGACTCTACTAGTAGCTAATATTAACAGACACACCCATGTTATATAGCGAGCATAAACTGTGCCCTTGGCAAAGGCAATTGCGAAGATTAGACTGATGATTACCCCACGTTAGAGGTCTCAAGGCGTGGACTATCCCCCCCCATCATCCCCAGCCACACAGCTGCTGGCTATGGTCAATGGAGGTTGCAGTCAACGCATCGAAAGCCCACCAAGTCAGGGAAAGGCAGACCTATCTCAAAGCACGGGCAGGTCCTTCTTACCTAATCTTTCATTTACAAGGCAACAAAAGGATCCATTTGTGAGATATCCTCACGTGGATTCCAGGTCTAAATCCTGGCTCAGATTTCTTGTTAGCCCAGTTTCAACACCAGGGAAGATTTTTTTTTAATCCCCGCAGAGGTGTGTTGCTGACAATATGGCTCCTGTTTACATTGGTCCCCGTGATCATTCGTGGGAGCCATTGGGCTCAGCTCTATCTCGGGTAATCTGGGCTTTTATCGCCCAGTTGCAATCTGACTTCTGTTTTCGTAAGTCACACTGGGAAGTACGGAGTGACAAAGGTGTGTGTCACAGATCAAGAAAGCACTGGGAAGTGACAAGCTAACTAGCCCGGTCAGGATGGATGGATGATGAGCAAGAGAAAACACAGATAAATGACATTGTCCTAAAGTAAGGTATAT